GCTGAAGACAATCGTTTGTACCACTTTGTAATTTAAGGGGCAAATAAATCTGGATATCATCTGCAAAGCAATGAAAGGAAATATTAAATTTTTGGAAAATCTGACCAAGAGGCAGTAAATACAAGATAAACAAAATGGGCCCTAAAATTGACCCTTGGGGGACACCATACTTTAAAGGTTTAGCCCCAGAACATGATTGGTCCAGATGAACAGAAAAGGTTCTGTTGTCTTAGTAAGATTTGAACCACTCGAATACTGAGCCTCGCAGGCCAACACAATGTTTTAATCTATGTAAGAGAATCTGATGATCTACAGTGTGAAATGCAGAGCTCAAATCTAGAATTAATAAAACTGCAATGTTGCCTGAATCAACTGTTAAGAGGAGATCATTATACACTCGGAGCAAGGCAGATTCAGTGCTATGAGCAACTTTAAACCCAGACTGGAACTTCTCAGTTATATTATAGTCTTTTAAAAACATTTCAAGCTGAATAAAAACTATACTGATACTAAAAAATAACTGATCAGAAACCTTTATTTCAGGGCAGAAGCTGTAGAGGAAACTCTCTCCAGTGCCATAGAAGTGTTCGCTGACTCTGAAGGGATGCGTTGAAAATGCTCCAAATATCTGTAACAAAAAGAAATTGATCCTTTTAATCCAGCTGATAAAACAGCTTCTAATATTGAAACTATTAATGAAGTTTTCACATTAGGGCATGTCTCCACGTCAGAAACAAGGGTAATTTTCTGGGACCATTCTTTACCCCTATTCATTTACAAGTATACGATATAAATACAGATTACCCAGTTAGAAATTTAGCGCAGAAACCTGTACTTGTAACATTTAGAGCAGGGATGTCCAAAGTGTGGCCCGGGGGCAAAGTGTGGCCCCTTAACTGATTTTGTGTGGCCCCTGACTTCAGTTCAAGAATTATACTAATCTGATTACAAATTTGTCCCCCCGGCACAGGTGTTTGATGTAGATGGAGACTTTCTATTTATTATTAGGGCAAATTTATCACAAAGAAAAATCTTATAATAAAAAATATTGGCAACAAAACCAATTATTTGTCTTTAAATAACTAGACTCATAGCTTTTCCACATCTATCCAGTGACTTCTACTCAAAAGCTGATTTTGCTGCACTCCAATCTGCTTTTCATTAAATTATTAAATTCGTCTGAATACAGCAAGCATTTTCAACAAGRGTGACCTAAATCCTGATTTTATTGATTAGAAATGACTAAATTGGGTTATTTTTTCCCCAACTGAAACCTAGAAAATTGCAAAATTTCTTTAAATAAGGGAAACCTGGAAAACAATTTATGCATCCATTGCATCCATTTCCAGCAATAAATCTGACTACTTTATTTGTTTAATAAAAGTATTCAATGCTTGGTTTATTGTTGAGCAGGTAAAGGAAAAATATATTTGGCCCTCAAGTCCTTCTGACTTTATGATTTTGGCCCATGTGACAAAATGTTTGGACACCCCTGATTTAGGGAGACACATGCTTTTAAATCGTTCTTTTTCCACATTTAAATCATTCAGTTGGGGTCTATATAAACTGCAATAATTTGGTCTAAATTCCTCCTTATTGTAACTCCACAAGCCCCATCTTTCACCACTTTTCTGAGGTGTTTCTCACGTCAACTCATTTTGAGGCTGTCTCTTTAGATCCAAACGAGGCGCTTCACACGACAAGTGTTTCTGGCCGTCCAAAATGACGTAATCACTGATCCGCTGTCTCATGTCTTGTGGAAGTATAAACCAGACTTTAGCCTGATAGGAACCATTTTTTACACTTGCCACCACAAGAGGGAGCCGAAGTCACACTGTTATCTACCTGGTCATCCATGTCTTTGATGATGAGCAGCACAGGACTGTCMACGTCTGCTAGGTTCCTGTACAAAGTCTTCAGACTGGTACCGTGTTTCTCAGTGCTGTAGGCCAGTCTCCATGGATATCCCTGCACACGGGCTGGAAGGCGACAGACAAGCTAAAAAAATAAAAAATGGAACAGACCAAGAAAAGGATCAAAATAGGTAGCCAGAATAATATGCAGAAAACCTTTCTCAGTTCTCAATTAAATGTTAAAGATATAAAGCTGTATCTAAAATTCAATCGGTCACAAAATATCCGTCAAGGCGACGAAAGTGGACTGAGTTTACCTTCTCGATGTGCGTGTCTTGTAGGAGATCACTGCTATCAACGAGCAAAGGCAGCGCATCCACAGCTGGGTCTCTGTCACAGCTGCCAAAACTCTGCCGGCGTTTAGCCTCGTCAATGGTGATGATCTGAAACAGGAGGCTGGGCGTTAATGAGAAGGGCGCAAAAACCCAAGCGTAGGGATGGGTACCGAATTCGATACTTTTTGATGTAAAGACCGAATTCTGTCGGTACTACCAAGTATCTATTCACGTAACATCAAATGGTACCATGTTTCGGTACCTAAACGCATCATTGTGACCAGTTTGGCGTAAGAGTGTTGAGTTTTCCATGCTTGTCCTGAATGCAGCATCACGCAAGAGCGTGATGACGTCAGCAGCAGCAGCCGCTGGTAAACAGAGGCAGAGCTCGGTCTGAACGTAGCTTGAGAGCCTCGCAGCTCCTGGAGTAAGCACGACGTTCGCTTGCTCAAAGTAAATAAAGTACCACCACTTTCTTTATTTCATCCGCCATTAAACAGAGACCAGCAGAGGAAAACAACAGAGGCGTTTCCCGACAGTCCGAACGCGTCTGACCTGAAAGAGCACAAGCAGCCAGCTTCAAGCGTTGGGCACGTTTTGGATGCTCAAAACGTAGCTTGAATACCTTTTATTTATTTTAACTCCATCCTCTTTTGTTTATTTGATTTATATTAAACTTATTTGCCTTCCATGAACGTCCATCACACAGTTTTTATAGCGGATAAATGACATCAATAGAAATACATGGAGCTGGATTTTTATTTGTGCAATAAGACAAAACAGTCTTGTTGTTTTCAATGGTTTTCACAACACATACAAAGTCCGTTAAGTACCGGTACMGATTCCCAGGTATTGGATATTGGGACCAAATTGATTCAAACGTCAAAAGGTACCCATCCCTACCCAAGCGGTAGTGTAAGGATTTCCTCACCTCCCAGCTGCACGAGGTGGGGTCGGCGAAGAAATTATCGATCATGTCCAGGTCATCTTTCTCCACCACGACGAAACCCTGCTCACAAGCTTCCTTCCCGTAAACATCCGGAGACCACTGAACGAAAAAGGAATACAGATCGTGCACCCTGGAAAAGACGTTTCACTTTAAAATCAAAATAACTAAATTATGTCATTTCAACTTTTATATTGCTTTTTATTTGCAATATTAAGATGAAAGCTTGGTCACTTCTATCACAATGTGTGTTTTTTCCTCTGAGGGCTGTGTCATTATCCCATACCTTTCTAGTGGCACAGCAAACCAATACTCCGACTGGGTTTCTGGACTCCCGAAGGAGCGTGCGGGACTGGATGTCATGCCAACGGCAAACGACTTCCTCATCGGCTTTCCGACTTTGAAGCAGAGGAACATGGGAGGGTTTTTACTCTTCTCCTCTGACGACAAAAGCATGTCTGCCAAATAATAAAAATAAACTTTATTAAATCACATTTTTAATCTAGCTACTTCAGTACTTTTATAAACATTTCAAAAGTTTCAAAKTTACACTTTGTTTCAAAGGTGATTCAGTGACTGTTGTCCTTTTGTTTTACTTCAGCATAATTTGTGCCATTTTAGCATTAAGATTTTAAAACATTCAGCTTATTTAAGATGTGGATGCTAAGACAGCTATAACATTTGGTTTAAGCTAAAACACGGGGGTCTCATTAAATTCGAAGTGCAATATACATGAATAAATACAGTACTTTTCTACTGAAATAGATTTCAGTTCATTCAAAAACCTCTCTCTCAGCATTACATGTACATAGCAATTAGGACTGCAACGATTAATCGACGACTAATCGATTATTAAAATAATCGATGACTAATTTAATAATCGATTAATCGTTTTCTCTTTTTTTTTTACTTTGTTTTTCTCTCTAAACTGCTTTGACACCTTCCACTGCCACATCTGCCTTTCTGTCCTTGACACACATGCACAGTAGTGGTAACTGGGGTAGGCCGTGGACGTCACAASACATTATACAGACAGGCTCTGGTATCATGGCTACCTGACAACGGAGCTCAAAGTGTGGGATCATTTTAAGAAAATGAAAGAGAAACCTGTGTAATATCTGCAAGGCAGAACMTGCCTTCCACAGCAATTATTTTTAGTTAGCATATAGCTAAAATCTAACAATGGTTATATAATAGCAGCTGCATTCTGGCGCAATAAGCTCTATGTTTTATATTCAATTAACGTATGATCCGATTAGTCGACTAATCGAAAAAATAATCGGTGATTAATCAATTATAAAAATAATCGTTTGTGGCAGCCCTAATAGCAATCCATTCTTTTGTATTTTAAATGTGTAGAATTAAGACCTTCTATTGGGATCTGCATCCTCTTCAGCAGCCAAGACTTCATCTCTGACTCGTAGTTTTTCCTCAGTCTCTCCTCGTCCCCCTCTGCTGATCTGTCTGGACTTTGCCTCTCCAGAACAGGTATCCCACAGATGTCAGACTTCTCCTGAAGACTCAGCTTCCTGATTATTTTATCATCTGCAGCGTTTAGCAGCTCCTCTGCTCTTTCATCTTTGGTTTCACATGTTTGCTGGCTTGCAGGTTTAACGTGCACGTCAGCCTGTATTTCAGTCTCTACGGAGGATTGTGTCAAGTCTCCATCCTCGATAGAGCTGTTCCGAGCAACACCTTCATCCTCTTCGTCATCCAGCCTCCTTTTAAGCAGACTGAGCACTGAATTGTCTTTTTCCTGGCTTGGGCAGCTCGCAGCTACAAGGTCATTTTGGTCCCTGCTGATAGTGCTGAGTGATGTGGAGGACATCTCTGCCTCCTCGGTGCTCTCGTTGACGGTAGGCTCCAGTTCGGTAAATCCTTCATCTGAAGGAGACTTCTCGGTCTGCTCACCCTCTGTACTCACTGCCAACATGAATATTTTGTTTAAGGATGACACATTTTATGATAAGGTCAACATTTGTGTAGATAATGAAAAGGACATGCAAAGCAGAGTTCAACAATTTATACCAAATGTTACCTACCCGAAACAAAATGTTTGAAATTTGATAAACTACAAAAGCATGTACAGTACTAAAATGTGTCCTACAGAAATATCAACATGGTTACACACAGAGGTACATAACATATGAGTCATCTGATTCAGCAGATGCAAACATTGCAGACTKAGTCACTAAGTTAGGACATGCATTGTATCATCAATAACACGATAAATATCTTCAGATAACTTTTTTAGACATCTCCAGTGTTTCCCCTAGAGTATTGGCCTTGGGAGGGTGGGCTTTTAAACACAGAACAATGACGGACACAGAAACATTACTAGAATTTATTAAAACACAATGCAGCTTTTTTAAAAAAAATAAAAATTACAGAACATGAAAAATTCTGTAATTTAATTTGCGTTAGGTGAATCTGATATAGCCTATCTTATATCTAAAACAAATCTTTATTAATGATGTCATTTAAGATATCATGAACTGGAGTCTCCATACAACTTAATGGTAAATCTGACATCATTTATACTACTCGGAACGTCATTACAGATATCTCAAATGGGTATTTTGCCTAGTCAAAATATAATTAAAGATATCTTAAATAACTAATATGTCTAATCATAACACAGTTTCTGATATCTGGAACGTAAGTGTGGTGCAACTTTTATGATTTTATGTTAAAATGGCCTGCCACAGCGGTGAGCTTCTGCATGTTGCTGAAAATGAGCAGAACCTGATTGTTAAATCAGCAAAATGGACTTAAGAACAAGTGAACCTCCAAATCTTCTTCTCATATCTGCAGTTAACAAGAATTTATCTTTTTTTATGTTTTATTTCTCCCCCGACTCGGTGGTGAAAAAAAACTACAGTGGTTAATGCTTCGCTATGCTCGACGTACAGCAGRAGGGAGGGAGAAATTATGAGGATTTATCTCCTGYGACACAATATTTAAGTTATAAATGAGAAAATATTGAAACAACTATTTAAATGCCCAAATATGCAGTGGTAATTGTTGAACCCTGATGCAAATGTTTGATCCCTTAATAAATAGTTACACCAGCGTAAAAAAWTTTTTTTACAGTTTCTCATTGAGAACTAGAAGAACAATAAGGTACCTGTTCTGTTTAAATACATGACAAACATCCTTATTTGAAGACGTCTTACGTGTTTCAGAGAGGGTTGATTCAATGTCGTCCAAAACTATYGGTCGTTTTGGTACTAGTGCTTCATACCGACTGAAGGGGTTCAGTTCTCGCTCTGAAGGCAGCTGCTCCCAGTCTCCAGGCCTGTAGACAGGACACAGATCCTGGGGTAGGTCTCTGTGAGGTCATCGGGAATCACATACACCGGAAACAGGATGGGCAGGGAGGGGCAAAAACACAGAAAAACAAACAAACAAAACAAACAAAGAAAGAAACAAAAAACAAACAGAAAAACAGAACATGTGCAACAGAATTTAACATGACACCCAAATGAATAAATGTGATGTAAAACAACCAAAATGTCAAATCAAACAAACTATTCAGACTATAATGAAAAAGCTCCAGATGAACACAGTGTAGGTGAGATTCAGTGAGCACAGATGAACGWAAGGAAATGCTTTGAAGTGTGAGATGCTCAAGTGAAACGGAACTCCAAACGCTTCAGGAAAAGCAAAGTCTAATCTTAAATGAGGAAGAAGGAAGGAGAAGTAAGGGTGGGAGCCTGGAAGAAGGGTTAGGAGGAGACAGATGGCGAGATCTTACGATGGCAGAGCGTCTTTGAGTTTCATACGCGACACGTCGTCGTACAGCGCCACGGAGACCAGCTCCTCCATGGGGCAGATGAGACCGTACTCTTCACAACCGTTCTCAATGACCAGGGGGTCCGACTTGTGGGGGTCGAACATGATGTTGTTGGGCGTCACGATTAACACGCCTCCAACCACTCCCTGAAACCAAAGTTTAGCATGAGACAGTGTTTCAAGACTTTCACCAACAGGAGAGCAAAAAAAGGAGTCTCTGAATGTGGAAATGTGTTTGAAACACCAAAAACTGACATAACTGTCAATTCAAGTTAGTCTTACCCCACTGCAGGAAAATAAAAAAGTGGTGTAATAACTGCTGWAATAACTACTAAAAACAGCAACACAGCTCTGGTCCTGGCTTCTCTCCAGAGGCTTTCTGTCCATTTACGGATTCATTTAAAAATTTTACTGTTCGCTTTTAAAGTTTTTCGAGGTCTGACACCATCATACTTATGTGGTCTTTATAAAGAGTACCCGTACACTGAATGTTCCAAGATCCAAACTAAAACAAAGAGACGGTCACGCTTTTTTATGGAGCTAAAAAAAATTAAAAATTGAAACTAAAAGACAAATTTTGGAACTGACAAAAAACAAAACTGAAAACAAAAAATTGAAAATGAAAAAACTAAACTGATGAAAAATGTTCAAAATGACTATGAAAATATGACATGCTGTTGTGTCATAATTATAACTATGTATGGCAGCCCGTATTGTCATATAACTTAAAAATATGGCAGGTTGTATCATTAAACTAACCATGTATGGCAGGCTGTTGTGTCATAAAATTTAAAAAATATGATGGGTTGTTGTATCATATAATTAACCAAGTACTACATGCCATTGTATCAAATAATAAAACATATGAAAGCAGTTATATAACTAAACTGTGGTAGGCCATTGCATCATATAATAAAAATAATATCCTATATATTTTCTTCAGTTTCAAATGTTTTGTCAGTTTCAAATTATTTGTTTCCAGTTTCAGTTTTTGTCTTTCAGTTTAAAAAAATACATTTTTAACAAACATTATGGCCCCAATGTAACCCCAAACTTACGCAGCTGCTGCTCCAAATCTGTGGATTAGTTTACATCCTCATTTACAGAACGCTGAGGAGACTTAAATTAATGATTGGAAACCATCTTCTTTCTTTTCTTATTTTGCCCAACTTACTACATCTGCCTCAGTTTCTTCTATAGCACATTAAATGATGAAAAGAAGAAAAAACTTGCAGCATTAGTCACAAATATTCTTAAAAAAATCATTGGGACAAAGTCAAGTTGATACCAGTTTAAAGATAAAATCCAGATGCAGGACACTGAATAAACTGATAATCCAAGAACAAGACATTCCATGTTCATCTATGTTATCAGTCAGTTTCATCAGTTATTCTTACCATGCCATCAGTGAAGTATTTGCAGCTCATCTTAATGAATTTAACCGTAGCTGGGCTCTCGTCCTCCGAGTTTGGGGAGAGCACCCGGCGGATGGACTTTGCTGACCGGCAGCTTTGTGTGCAATCCTGAAACACAACAAACCAATTAGAAATATTCACATTATGGCTTTTTTAGCTTAATTTGTACTGAGAGTTTCAGTGCCCAGACTGATTTGTTAATAATAGGAAGAAAAAGAACAAAAACACAGGGTGTATGTTAAGAATGTCACAATAATAACACTTCATTTGTTTATATTTCACATCCTTTTTGGATAAACTTACATTTTTCTCAGAAATGCCATTAGTGAACGAGGGTTCAGAGGAAGTAGGAGACTTGAGGTCAGTTTCTGATTGGCTCACATCAGGGACAAACAGCTTCTGTAATAACGATGGACGGCAAACAATCAGTGAATCTATACCGTGGAGAGCAGAGCAGCATAATGGGATCGATTCAGTGCCCTCACCTGACCAGGGTAGACGCTGCGAGAGAAGAGCTTGTTCAGCTGGACCAGCTTGTTTGGGGTGATGTTGAATTTAAGTGCAATGCTGTTAAGGGAATCATCTGGTCCCACCTGCAACAAGAGATCAGCTTCTCTGTGAAAACTGTAGCTAGCAGCGTGTTAAACACATAATAAACACAGCCTTCTAAAAAAAGAACGACAGAAGCATGCAAGACCTTGGGAAGTAGGGGTGGGGAGGGTGCTGCAGCGCACCTTGATGGAAGTCCATAAGATGCTAGTGTTCATTTTACTGCATATAATAAATATAACCTCTTCATAAGGGCGTTTAGGGTCATTACACATTCTCGCAGCTTGAAGCCATTCCCACAGCAGTGCATTATTTAAAAGGTGCAAGTGTAGTGCTGCTCACAATGAACTCCACTGTGCCTGGTGGCTTCTTCTTCTCCATCTTGTTTCTTTTACAGCCATCACCTGAAGGTGCAAGAGAGGAAAAAAGACAACTAAAAACATTTCTGAACACTTATTTTATAGCTCAGTTAAGAGAGTTTCCTAAAAATCCACAGAGTAGTTCACGAGTTGTTTTACCAACATGACAAACAAAACCTTTCATCGGGGGGGTGTTTGACCTGAACAGAAACATCTCTTGATCTCACCTGAGTTACTTTTTCAGTACCAGTTATTTACCCCTCATCATTATCCAGCTTTAAAATGCTGATATCCTGAAGCAGTTGTTGTACGTAAACAAAGACAACTTCTTGTACAAGAGTTGCACAGTCAGCAATTCCGTTTTGCCGGACAGAAAAGCCATTAGCACCTCTCTCCCTCACGCTCAGATGATGACTAAGCATTATACTCTCACACTCCAGCTCCATCTGCCCGTTAATGTCTTCAGCATCGAAGACCGGGACGCTGGCCCTGCTCTRAACACTGTACTACATTTACTGAGTACTGAGCTGTGGCTGATACCATGCTGTGTATACCACAGCTGATCACATTATTGCAGCCTGAAGCTCATTATTTCAGAGTTTACACAGCTGGCTGAGCCATAGAGGGTCTATTATTACTGAGGATATGCTACGATTGAAGAGGTTATTTGTTGAAAATAATCTCCACGATTCAGTTGAGCTCATAAAGACTAGACTGTACTTTAATAAACCTCGCATGTTTTTTTTCTAAAAATCAATTTATTAAGTAAATACAGAGCATTTGTACACATATGCAAAATGATTTATACCAGTCTGTTGCAACAAATTGTATATATTCTAAATGTACACAATAAAACAAAAATATAATTATGCAATCCAAGACAGTAAATAACTGCTTGGGTTCAAAATAATTTATTTTATAAAGAGTGATTTATAATTTCCCCCATTTTTATGGCTAATATTAAAAGGCAAAAAGGCTTGAATTGCAGAACTGGTCGGAGTTTTATATTTTTCTGGTTGCAAATCTAGGTGCTCACAAGCTTTAGAAATAAAAGTCCCTTTTATGTCACTGTTAACTCTAAAACAGAGCAGGATAAGGATTGTGCAACTTCCTGACAAAAACTGCTGAAGTTGTTTCACCACAAACGTCCGTCCTCCTGCTCAGAGGGCCATGAAGTCAATCACAGAAAAGTTTTTAAAACAATAAATGAATATTTCCATTAAGCATTACTGTTACTGAATTCCAAAGTTTTTTTTCCCTTACAATAAAAATCCACACTCGGACTAAAATCTATATGTAATTTTATTTACAGTATCTAGTTCAGTGGTTCCCAAACCTTTTCTGATGGCCCCCCTTTGGTTTATAAAAATAATTTCATGCCCCACCACCACAACCACACACACACGCGCACACACTCACACACATACACTTTCCAACCACATACACAGATATTTTGTTTTTAAACTCATTTCAGTTTATTTCTCACCATAAAATGTTCTTTAACATTTGAACTAATGAAAGACAACTGAAAAAAAATTGATTGCAATAAATTACAACCTCTTAAAAACATCTTAACAGTAATTATTTAAGTGTAACGGTTTTTTTTTTACTTGGTGAAAATATTCAACATTGCTTCAATGAAACTTTAAAAAGTATTTCTGTGCAAAGTGGGTTTTTAAACATGAACAACACCCTGAGAGGAAAAACATAAAAGTTTGTTGATTAAAAATAAATCTCCATCAAATACCTGTCCAGACCAACAGCGTCTGAGCATTCCCCCCTCCACCTCCCCTCAATTCAGTCAAGCTGCGCCCCACCTGCAATGGCACTGCACCCCCCCCAGGGGGTGCGCCCCACACTTTGGGAACCACTGATCTAGTTCAACTGAAATGACTGCAACAGTCAGAATGTTACAAAAACGATTGAGATCAAACCAAGTTAAACTGAGTTGACTGCATCAAAAAAAACTGTTCTGCATGTAAATATGTAAATAGAGCCAATTGGGAATCTCAAATTACTATATGTACAACTGAGGGTCTGTGTACTTTTTGGTCATTTAATTTTCATTTTAAAAACACATATTGAAAAACAAAACARAACAAATTATTAATCTATTTTCATTTTATCCTCCAAAAACAGGAAAATGGTCCATTGTTTGTTAGGTTTTTTTTCCAACAGAAGTTTAACGCTGTCATTATCAAACTATTTAAGGTGGAACTAATTAAATAACTTTTTAATAAGGTGGCTGCCTGTAAATAAATAAATAAATAAACACTAGCCAACTACTTTTGCATTTCTTTAACTATCTGAAGACTGTGAGGTTTTTTTTTAGTCAATACAGATAGTATAGCCAATTGCTTAAAAAACTATCTAGCTCCAACTTAAATGGTCTGATAATAGCATGAATAAACATGTTTTACCTTATAAATAACTAACCAGGCAGTCGCAATAAAAAACGCTAGCAAACTATTTTACATTTCTTTACCAGTTATCAGATGATAGTTTGTATATCACTGATGATTCAGTTTCCTGAAGCTTCTGCTGCTTTCAGAACATTAAATCTTTTTCCAACTGGTCCATGTTGAGGAACCTGAAGCAGCAGGTTCCAMTGGGCAGCATCGAGTTGCCTTGTCATCAGCGTTGACGTTTTGCTTTGACAAAAATAAAAAGACGGACCGATTTTCCATTTTCAGAGTATAAAATGAAAACAGAATGATCCTCTGTTTTTTAATTTGTTTTTAAAATGAAAAATATCAAATGACCGAAAGGTACAGGAACCACTGAGCAACGTGAATCAGAGATCTTTCTCGTGGTTTACCTGAACCTCCAGGTGGCTTTGCTCTCTGAAGGTCAGTCTTCTTGTTGGGGTCGGGGTCACAGGAGATGATGGCAGGACTCCTCTCATTTGGACTTTTTTCTGACTGGCTCGACCTGAGCTGCTTGTGCCTTTTCAGCCTGTACATAAATCAATGAAAATATTTTAAAAACAATCATCTCGTGTTGCAACTTTTTAAAGGCCAGCTCTTTAAAATCTTAAATTAGCACTTTAGAAGTGAGATTTTGTGGGAAATCCTTGAACAAGTGACCTATTGTTTACAAATTGTGTATTTTTTTATCTGCCATAATCTATAGAAAAACTACGGAGCCCGCGAGGGGACATGGGGAGACTTTTTTTTCATTTTGCGTTTGCACACAATAGCATTGCGTTACCTTGCAATACTTTTGCGTTACCTCGCAAAATTGTTTTGCGTTCCCACGGAAAATATTGTTTTGTATATGAACTAGAGCTGGGCGGTATGACCCAAATTTTATATCACGGTATTTTCAACAATTACACCGGTTTTACGGTATTTGACGGTATTTTTTTTCCCTYACAGGTCAGTTGATAATAAAATGTACAAACTTTGCTTATTAACTTTTTTCTTTTATCACCGTTTCCCTCCTCTTGTACATCTTTTCTTCTTTGCCTGGTTGTAGACAGTAATCATGCATTTTGGTCCGATAGTCAAGGGTTGAGAAAAAAATCATTACCTGGTCTATCGTTACGTGTTAATAAAACACGTTAATAAAATAAGGATGACTCACCTTGCACACTAGTCAACTCCGCTACACTATAAAGCTACTTTCCCCTGGGCTTTKCACAATAGAAGCACGCTAGAGTCTCCATGCAATAACATCTCCATTATAACGTAGCGCGTTAAATCTAACTGTGCACGTCACTAAAGAGTGGTTTACTATTCAGCGATGGTGAAAACGGGATTTTTTTTTAAACGTTAGACCATATAAGTGGCTGAAACAAACCACCCGCCGCCAGTGGTTCCAATAATAATGTTAGCATGCTAATGCGCTTAGCGGTGCTGCAACGAAATGTGTCCCCAGAGAAACAGCTCACTGGCGGCTGCGACGAAAAGTTCCGCACGTGTTCAGACTATACCGGTATTCAGAAAAGTCATATCATAACAAAAATAAAAACCGGTTTTCGGTACAAAACGTTATACCGCCCAGCACTAACATGAAATGAATTAAATGAGACTTTTATTTTGAAATATCCGGTTACCAAAACAGGATGGGTCGCCACAAGTTAGTGAAATTGACATTGATGTTGCGTGGCTGACATACTTCCATGCGTAGCTGTGTGATATATTCATCCYGAAGCTGAATTAAAGCAGTAGGCWAACTCGCTAATGGTGAACATGTGAATTTGTTAATAAACCGGCAGGCACAACAGTGATAAACTACTTTTGCAAGGGAACGCAAAAGGTATTGCGAGGTAACGCAATATTATTGCGTGGGAACGCAAAAGAAAAAAAATCTCCCATGTCCCCTCATGGGCTCCGTAAAAAACAAACCATGTCTTCTATGGTAAAACTTTTGCTTTGCTGAGTCAGCTGAGTCATCCGCTCAGGTTGCCATTTCTCCCTGTTTAATCATTGATAGGTGAGCATGACAGAAGCTACATTAAAAGCAGAACACTGCAGTGCACTTCACTCATATCTAAGGTTAGTGGTGCACCTCATGTTATGAACGCTTACTGAGAGGATATGAATATGTTGACAAGGATTATTTATAAAATGTACAGCGTGTGAGTAAAGTTGGCCTGCACAGCCTCAGGCTAAGGAAGAAGAAAAGAACAGTGCACAAAGCACATCTGAAGTATTCAAGTGCTTTAATGGAAARGAGAGATTGGGTCGATAAGTCTGCAGACAGATGGAGTTCAGGCCTCTCCTGTAGCCTTAGGYGCTGCATGGAACTGGAGGTGAGTTGAAGAATCTGCAGATGCTTTCAGCAGTACCATCTGCTTCACTAAGTGACATTTCTTAGACTTTTCATTGCAACATCTGCTATTTAGCTCGCTTCTGGTAGCAGCCTGTAAACAGTATCCATTTACAGATAGTGGATGTTTGTAGAAAACAAAAGGAAACACAGAGTTTATTAGCATTTAGAATCAGATACAGGAATGTTTGAATTTTCTGTTACAGAAAGTTAAGTCACCATTCATTGAAATTAGTTTGTGATTTTTCTCCTATAGAGTCTGAGCAGGCTTCGTGACAGCAGCCTGGATATAAAACATGAAAATGGACCACTAGTCTGGAATATAAAGCCAATGAAACGGTGTGTTTTTGTGTGATACCTACACAGCCTATAAG